CCTCAATAAATCAGACGACGATGGGCGTTCAGCCATGTTCAACAGTCCTGAAGAAGTTCAAGTTTATCCTACATCCCAAAATGCAGCAAAAAGCCAGAATGAGGCTTCACCTGACCACAATTGTCTTTTAAAAGAAAGTGACAGGGAGGCTGCAGACATCATTTCTTCTCATTTTGAACAAAAAAGGATGATGTATGAAAACATGACCGGTGGACACGACGGGGACAGGACTGACCAAATCTGCAATGATTCCAACACTCCTCAAACAAATACAGCTCTAGAAGAAAGTGCTGCTCAAACAGACGGAAAGGCTAATGGCATCACAGATAAGACAGACAATTGTTTTCAAGAATTTCAGCCTCATTTGTCTGGTCCATTTCATAAGACCAGCCTTTCAGTACCTGGCGGTGAAACTAGACAAGATTCTCATAGGCCTACAGATCATAGCAAGAGTTATCAAGCTGTCTGTTTTGGAAATATTTCATCGGCAGGGACTTCTTCGGTTGATTATTTGACATGGCCACAATATGGTGGCTACACAAAAGAAAATAAAAATCCCCATACTCTGTCCTATCTTCCGCCATATCTCAAAAGCCCCACAAAACAGCTGGGAGCACATGACGTGGACTCTGTGTGTGTTTCAGAACAGGTCCCTGCATTCTCCTACATGTGGGACAGAACTAATGTCCTGGCACCAGGGGACGATCTTATGAAACAGGAAGGACATTGTGAAAGTGCTGTTGTACAAAAATGTGATTTTATTGATTCAAGATTTAACGGTGTAAGTCCAGAAGATGCTCTGTTACTGAGACCGAAATGCAATAGTGAAGGTAGATACATGTACAGCGATACTCTATTTTAATTATCTCCGTTGTTTTACTGACCCCCTCTAATCTGGTTTAGCCAAAGCCCCTAAACTAATTCTCCTAATGATATAATCGCAACTGTACAAAACTGGTTTCGGCCAGTTGTGTGATCTGGTTTTTTTTTTGGTAAACTTTTGACTTAAAGTTAACTTTGCTAATAATTTTGAGCGACGCTCGTAGTCAAATTTTTAACCACTGTTTATGAATCTCATGGTTCTTCATCATTTTATGAAAGTTTGATTAATGTAACTCCAGGAGACAGATGTTAAGTGACAGCTGTCAGCCTAAGCATTTCGCTTCAATTAAATAAAGCAAGTATTTAATCAGTTATGGTAAAAGTTTCTTCAGCTAACTTTATAAAGTATCTTATGCAAATGTACATTAAAGCAAAACATGTCAGTCTTGTCGATCATTACGAAGCTGTAAAAAAATTAAGGAAAAAAAAAAAAGAAGCTTGTTATTGATCTAAGTTGGAAGTTAAGGTCAAGGTTGCTATGTTTTATATCCATTTCCAATATTTTATTTTAATTACAGCAATTTCCAATAGTGAGAGTGAGAATTTCTTGGTGGGAAAAGAAAGATCTGAGGATGTGGTACTGTGGTCACATGACAAGAGTCACCAAAGCGGTGACCCAGACTCTGGTACAAATATGACCTTAGAAAATGTTGCAGAACAATCTCTTTCTCAGAGTACTCTGTTTTCAGCCGATCGGCAGAGAGCAGCGCTGGCTGGCGGTTTATCTCCCCATGAACCAGAACACAAACTGACTCTACCTTTGAGTGCATCTGAACCCTCACAACAATTGGTTTCACCTGAGATGACCAGACGAGAACAGACTCACCAATATCTAGATGACAGTGAAACTCTTGTGTCTCTCGTAGATGGAGCAGAATTCACCAGTCTGGCAACTTGCAAAAATGAAAGAACAAATGAAACACCAGTTTTAGTTAGCACATTCTTGTGTGAAACTCCAGATTTAGCTAGCACATGCTCGGGTGGAAGTCCAGATTTAGTTAGCACATGCTTGGGTGAAACTCCAGATTTAGTTAGCACATGCTTGCCTGACAACCAAACTATTAAGCAAGAAGTTGGGGAAGACGCCGCAAACTGCAACTCATCCAGGAACACTCAGATCAATGGAAGTGAAGCTGACATGAAAAATGGTTCAATTTCTGAGGTTAAGTGTGAGATAGTTGAATCCAACCAATCAAAGTCTGAAATATCCAAGACATTCTTTACCGGAATTATAAAAAAGCACATCAGTTATTTGCCAAGACATCATGAAATTTCTCAAAGTAAGGTTACGAAGGTACAAACTAAAATATCATGTTTTTTTAAGTCTAATTATCACAAGAAATCTGATAGTGTTCCCCAGTCAACTATTGGTTGTGATTCTGAAACATTACAAAGTCACTTAAAAGCTGTTCAGGCTACATTAAAAGCGGAGAAGCATTCTAAATTGGATTATGGGGATAACATAGTGAAGGTTGAACTCACTTCTCCACGCAAAAGACTTCAGAAAAGAAATTATTCTCCATCTCAAGTTCATGATAATGCAAAATCCAAGAAACTGAAACTAACTCAGCCTACACAGGGTTTAGCTGCACTCCCAGTTTTCAGCAGAGGAAGGCAGATGTTGCTCAAATCCCAGGGACAAAACCTCCAAAAACATTGCTCCTTACCAATCAAGTTGTCTTCCAAAGTGACGCCTACGTTTAAAACGCCGTGCACAGGCCTTCCACACGTGCACAAGCCTTCATGGAGCAAGAAACAAAAAGCAGTTACAAAAAGTACCATTTCAAAGAATCTGCCAAAGACTTCAAAGTTAAAAAACACTGCCAAGTTTTTTGACTTGACGAAATTTCCTGCCGCAAATGTAATGTCCAAAATAAATTCTGGCTATGTTGAGAGTAGCTTAAAACTTCTTTGTCCTGTGGGAGCTTTGGAGATATTAGGCTTATTTCATTTTCCTCGGCCTACAGATAAATATTTTGTCATCAAAGTCGAGGATAATAACTTCTCCAGCAAGCCGCTTATAATGCAAATGATAAATAACTTGGCAACAGTTGGCTGTGACGCATCACTTGTTTACAACGCAAAGAGCGGCGGGACGCCAAAGTCCAGTTGCAAGAACAGTATCACGTCATCCACAAATGGGGTCATTAAAGCTTCCAGTGTGAAAGTGGCTCTGCCGACCGTATCCAAAATGGTATGTGATATTTGCAGTCGTCAATACAGCTGCACTACCCAGCAGCATATTAATGGGGACGGGCATAAAGCCATAGTAAGCAGTCCAGATTTTTACCGCACGCTAGATGCACAGATTCTCACCGTGGGCAGTGTCGATGCATTCATTCAGTTGGTTGTTGACGTGCAAAATAAAACTTTAACAACAAATCAATATACATTTCCAGCGATTATTGGTGACTTGGACTCTGGAGAAGATGAAAATAAAAGTCTTGATAGCAAACCGATGAATCAAGGAATGCAGAATGATCAAATACAAATACATTCTCAAGTAAAAAATTGTCAAGTTTCTTTAGTCAGTGGATTTTTATTCAAAGAGATTTGTAATTCCAAGATTGAAGTGGGGATTTCTCAAGAGGAACAGGGCCTGACATACCATAGACCACTTGACAAGCAAATGGTTTTACAAGCCCCAGTCTTAAATGTTTTAAAAATGCCATACATCTCAAGGAAAAGATTGTTCTCTGATGTATGCACAGAATTAGTTAGAGTAAAAAGACAAAAAACTGCAGAGCAGCAGTGCTGTAAATATAAGAAGAGGGACATTCCCATTCCTTGCGTTCAACTGTCTGATCAGTTAGACAGCCTGGTGATTTCAACTCAAAAAAATCTGGAGATGGCAGTCGCTCAAATCAAACTCCCAGCAGAGGTTGTTGAACCAGATCAGGACAACAGTGATACTTTTGAATGGGAAGTTGATCGGTTGCTGAAAATTGCCTACCCCAGAAAGAAGACGAGAAAATTACCCAAAATAAAACCACTAAAGAAGCCCAAGGAAACATTTGTGTTGGTCCAGGATTTGTGTCCAGTGAGTAGCCTATGTCCAGCTAACGTAAAGCATGAGGTTAGTTCTGTAAATTTGTTTCATCAGTGCTTTGAAGAATTGCAAACTGGTGCCAAGAATGACTGCAGCAGTCCATTCTTCCAGGGAAATGATTGCTTCAAGTTGAAGCAGAGTATACCTACATGGAATTTATTGTCCAACAAGTTTTTTCCAAAAATAGGAGCAACAGACAATTAAAATAGCCAAATCGGTCAATGGATACTTTGTGCACATCATTGGATGCTTTGTGCACATCATTGGATGCTTTATGCACATCATTGGATGCTTTGTGCACATCATTGGATACTTTGTGCACATCATTGGATACTTTGTGCACATCATTGGATACTTTGTGTACATCTTTGGATACTTTGTGCAAATCAGTAGTTACTTTTCCAAATCACTGAGTTTAGTAATCTTAATAAATGTTAACTTATTATAATGGGCCCACTGATGCTATCAATATTTCCAGGGCCTATTGATTTCAACTTGAGTAATGAAAAGGCGGGGGGGGGGGTCTTTGTGTTAAGATTGACAAAACTGTCCATATCTATCTTATCTAAAATTAAGTTCTTGACATAGCATTGAATAGTGAAATAAAATTTCGGGGTATTTTAGCCTATTGATTTCAACTTGAGTAATGAAAAGGCGGGGGGGGGGGGTCTTTGTGTTAAGATTGACAAAACTGTCCATATCTATCTTATCTAAAATTAAGTTCTTGACATAGCATTGAATAGTGAAATAACATTTCGGGGTATTTTTTGTCTATAAGTGCAGCTGTGTGGACAGTTTAAAACGTCACCCATTATCAAAAGAAAATTTTTAATGCCAGGAAAAAAATGTTGAAACTGCATTTATTTTCTTCTCATTTAAATAGGCAATGTTTGGTATCACATAGTTAATTTTTTAAACTTGTGTTGTTTCAATAGGAATTGTCGATACAACTAATGGTAGTGCCCATACAACTAATGGCTTTTAAGCTACTGTTAAAGTTGCACGCATTCTTACATGGACTTTTTTTAAGACTGCTATTGAAACTTTAAATGTAAAAGAAAAATAATTTTTAAAGCAGTAATAGAGGCGTAAAATATTTGGGATTCGGAACTTCTTAAAATAATTTTTATGATCACTCTTACTAGTTTACTTATAAAGAAAAGCACATTAATTCATTTTTAATTAAAATATTTATTTTTCATTATCACAAAATATAGCATACATCAACTCCTAACAATATTTACACAGATTTGTTTCTCCAACAAAATGTACATTATAAAAGCTGAAAATAAATTCTCAAATTTTGATTCTCGGATGCTCATCTATTCAGTCTTTTGTAAACATATTTAATCCTCATCACTGATGTCCAATGAACAACTGATAAATATTTCTCATTTTAGTTATCGGTAACTGCCTTCTACCCCTTACTGGTTATTGCATCAAATATTCTCCGTACACAGTTGCAAATTGCTTGGGCTTGGTCCTGAAAAATGTTTTATGGATTTTGTAATTTTGACAATTAAGATACAGCAATGTCAATTGTACTGCTTGTCCTTGCATCAATACTGCTTGTACTTGCATGTGTTAAAGAAATTGACAGAGAAAGAATATTTATTTATTAAGTTTAATCTTCTAATTGACACACACTGTAAGTGATACAAATATGTCAATACTTTTGGAGGTTTTTAATTCTTAAATCTCCCACAGACACATAAAGATATTAGATTTTTAATAATTAACTTGACATAAAAAAGTTGTTAGTTTTTAAATCAATTTACCTCTGAATGACATTGGAAGACATAACACTTGTACATGTGTTTGCCTACTTGGCCAATCTTGACAGCTATATTTTGGTTCTTGAAGCCATCACTGTATTGAATCAGCTGGGCTATGGTATGCAATGGATGCCTTTGGAGTACCTCCTACATGTAAAAAGGGCAAAGTGTTTAACTCGGTTTATATTTCAAGTACTTTCTTATGCAATATTGCTTAACTTAATTAACTACGCCTTGTTTTACTCCAAACAATGAAATGAAATGTACTTTTAAAAAAAAAAAAAAAAAAAATAATCATTAAAAACTTTAAAAAAATATTTTGACTTTTGAAAATTATGAACTTTAAGATTATTGTAAGTACCAGTACAAATTATCTGATTACCTGTCCACTGGTATCGACAACTTTTATTCCATGCCTGGACACAAACATCACAACCTTGTTCTCCTCTGACTGTACCATTTGGAGTCTGCCTTCAATCTAAAAAAAAAAAATTTTCATCAATAAATAATTTCTGTCCTTATCTTAAGCAAAAAGCCAATCACTTATTCCTTATTCTGTTGGATATTTTGTACCAATCACTTATTCCTTATTCTGTTGGATATTTAGTACCAATCACTTATTTCTTATTCTGTTGGATATGTTGTAAGAGGAACCTCAGTCACTTAGTCCTAGTTCATATGTCTGTTGGATATGTTGTAAAAGAAACACCAGTCACTTATTCATTCGTTGTTCATATGAGTGTACTCATCATTCAAGACACCATACAATAATTCATAAATTTGCCTTTAAAAGTAACATGACAACAACTTAACATAAATAAACCATACATTTTAAATAAGATATTACTACCAAGCTCTGATATTGCTTTGTATAATATTGTTCTACTTGCACGCTCTGATACTGACTTATATGGTATTGTTCTACTTCCAAGCCCTGATACTGACTTACATACCGGTAGTATTGTTGTTCTAAGGGGGATAAGGACAAAGATGTCCATATTTCAGTCTTGACTCACCTGATTCTCCTCTACAATATCTACCAGCTGTGGTTCAGTGTCTCTCTTCTTAGAATTTGTCATGTTGATCTGATCAACCACTCCCAGATAGTATACCTAGTTACATAAACAAATAGCCTCAATTATTGCGTCAACATTTTCTGTTTTTGCACAAACCCCACATTGCTTTATAATCCTTTCACTGTTAAATTATCTGAACTTGGAGAACATTTTTAATGGCAATTATGTGTACCGGTATTTTCTTTAATATGAAGCAGTACGATTTCACTGATGATTATACTTGGCTCATTATCAAAGCTAATTATTAAGACATAAAAAAACACTACTCTGATTAACAATTTAAATGATTCAAATTTTGAGTTGAAGTGAAGAGGATTAAAAACAAACTGTTTATATTTATTCCTTTACAATACTAAACTAAAATTCTAGTAGACAGGCCTCAAAAAGTGATTACCGTACATCTGATCTTTCTACAGACCTGTTTACCCTCAAACTCTTAAAATCATACAATATCATGTCAAAATCATTCAATACATTATCTTAATAGTATAGTAAAAAAATAAACAAAGTATAATTATGTACAAACCTCAAAATCGTACATTGTACACCAAAATCGTAAGAGTAAACAGATCTGTTTCTAGTACACAGGCCTCAAAAAGTGATTACCTCTGATCTGTCATGCCAATGCAATATTTTCAGTACAGGTAGTATATCATTTTCCTAAAATAATCATCAAAGCTTACCTGAAAGTGAACTCGCTGATGGAGGATTTTGTCAACCTTGTCTTTTTCGTCTTTTGTATTAGGAGATACATTTTCATTGCTAGAGCCACTCTAAAAGTTAAAAATTTTATGACAGAAAGCTAATATATCTCAAAAATTCATGGACATATGTCTTGTTTAGTGCAGCAGCTTTTAAGTTCTCTTTTTAAGGACTTAAGTAAATTTTTCACCCCATTTTAATATCCATTGTCCCAGGTGGTAAACTGTAATTATTAGGGGTTGTCTGTTGGTTACATTAAAATTTTCTTCAATTTTAGCCACATTGGTTTTTCCTATTCACAATGCAAATTACACCACATTATAGATTTCATCAAATGCTCAACTTGTTATAAAATACCCCGGTACCCATAATGTTAATTGGAAATATTGTCAGGTTTATACTTATGTCTCACAATGAAACATTAAGTGGCCTACTCTTTGGGAATCACTGCTTTAACTTTAATCAATATATTACTATACTTAAATATTAACATTAAAATTATTTTTATTACTGTACACAATTATTACGGGTACTTAACCTAAAGTAGCAAAAACCCATAAGAAAAGGCTGGAAAAATAAATAAAAACTGTAAACAGACGTCAAAAACATTGTTACATTTCTGGCATACTATCTAAGTTACCGGTCATTATGAGATACATTATTGTTTTAAAAAAAAAAGATGGATGTTTTCATAAATCGAATATTGTAAATCTATATTTCAGCTTTGGTAATCTAAAGTCATAATTATTTTCACCATAAAGGGCATCTCTAGATATTTTCCGTATTCACTCATTATTCGGTAATGAGGTAAACATTGTAGAGTCTGTATTAGAGTTATTAGAATGTCGATTTTTAAAGGGGCCCACTGAGTATTCTCTAAATGCAACACTGCTAACAGTTGTCTCTCTTAATGTTATCCCAAAGTTCAAGACATACAATGTGAATTATGACTATGAGTTGATATGAAAATATGGTTCACATAGTATCGTGTCATCTTAGTTCATTGTCATAGATGACATATTGAAGGCCTAATCAATCCTACAAAATAAATATAATTTAATGGTTACCGGATATTTGATTGAAAGAAATTTCGTTGACGTTAAATTGATCTATGGTAATTTGATTGAACCGAAATTTGGTAAATTTGGTTGAATTTATTTTTCAGTTCACACGCTAAAATTTTCGTCAAATTTATTTTTGAACGCACTATTCACTATGCTTTATAGTAAAACAAAATAATGCGTTCAAAAAGAAATTTGAAGCAAAATTTTAAAGTAAAAACTGAAAAAAAGATTCAACCACATTTCGGTTCGATCAAATTACCATCGATCAATTTACCAGCGACGAAATTTCCTTCGATCAAATTTCCGGATAGTACGTAATTTAATAAATATAATTTATAAATATGGTAGACAAGAGAGTGTGAGTGAATCTAAGAGTATGAGTAGTATGAGGGTTACTATGAGTATGAGTATGCAGTATGCTATACTGATACTCAACTATACTGGCTATGGCTATAGCCATAGATCATAGAGGATAGTATAGTCAGTATGTTTTTAATATTTTGTTGCTATTAATGATATGAACTATCATGACACTCCGGTATGAACTATTGGCTATAGCCTATTTACTATTTAATATTAATAGCCACTATTAATTAGGACGATCATTTTATTTTTCAATTATAAGTATAAGTTTTTTGTACGTACCACTTGACTATCCACGGATTCCTTACTACCATTTTGAAAAGACTTCGTTTTTGGTGGTTTCTTGAACATTTGTATGCTTATTTTTATTATTTGTGCATCAATAGATATGATTTATTAATCAGAAATTATGTAGGCCCTATGGACTATGGATATATGTAGTCAACTTTTACAATTACAATATTTACCAATGACTATTACTAAATTACGTCTTTCGTTTTTACGTGTAAGTATTTTGACTTTTTAAATTGTTAGCAGTAAATAGCAGCAACCATGATAAATCACCGAGGTTAGAATTCATCACATTAATTACATATTGTTTGTATATTGAACGTTTTAAAATTGAAATAGGTTAAATTATTAATTTAGAAAAATAATAAAGTTTTGATATTTTCTAAAATCAATAAATAATTACGAAAAGTGAAGATGAATATTTGGTGAGGTCATTTTTTCTCCGAGCCTATTGTTTAGGCCGTTGTTAAACATGGCGTCCAAAGAGAAAAAAAAAGCGGAACGAAGGACTAATAGTTTGAAGAAAATTGATGATTTGCCTGTTGAAAAGACAGAAACTGCATCGCAACTCTCAGAATCAGTAGACATTGTGCAGTCAGAAGTGAATACTATCTCAGAAGTTGATCTTGAAAAACAATTGAAAGAAAAAACTCCCGAACCAACTTACGATGAGCCGAGACTTACGGAACTTATTGTTGAGAGGTGATTAAATTGATTAATTACAAATAATACAAGTCTTGTCTTATACTTATTAGGAGCAAGGAGTTAAGTCCAATTTAGATATTCCATAAGTCCCATGCCTATATACAAAAAAAGGATGGGGAAGGCTGATTAAAAATAACAATTTTACATTGATCCTGTACTAAACTGTTCTTCAACTTTAATCAATTTAATCAGGTCCAGGATTAAACTTTCTTACCTGTGACAACAATTGTTAAATTATTAGCTGTCGGCCCGGGGTTTCCCATCATGGCTGCCATCTTGGTTGACGTGTCAACCAAGATGGCGGCCAAAAATTATTGCAAAACACGTTATGAAACGACTGGGGAGGGGAGACCAACTCAGTAATGAGGTAAACATTGTAGAGTCTGTATTAGAGTTATTAGACCCCTCCCCCACTTTAAATACCAAATTCAGAAACAGAGAAATTATCTAGACCCCTACCCAGAACCCCTCCCCAATTACCTGCCTAAAGTTAAAGCCACAAGTAAAAGCACATGGAGTTTACACACTGTGGCAGTGGCCATAAACTATGAAAGTGAACAAAAACAAAAAATAATGGCTAAAATATTTAAAAAACAAAAAATAATTAAAACCCAACTTACAGTTTCATGAAATACACTTTTACAAATGTATTATTTCAGGTTCCAAAGAAAATAATAGGCACAAATGGTTAGTGCGCAACAGCTGGCATTGGGCTAACATGTTGCGAAGATAGCGGCATAAATATAATATGATAATTAGCCAACTAATGATGATTTAAAATTATAAATAATCAACCAATCAAAATTATCATACAAAACATGTCATCAGCACTTCCTCCAACAAAATCAACAAAGGGGAATGACTCCTGCACAAAAATTAAATAAACACGCAATTACGTCATGGGATGACAACCAAGTATCAGCCCAACCATTTTCTAATTTAAAGTTATTTGATATGAACTGTATCATAAAGGATTTTGAATAGAATACAGTTTTGTACATCTTTATTTGAATTGGGTACCGGTATTTATTTAATTGTAATCTGCCAGTGGAATTTTTATCCTTCTGATCCACTTATGTAATTTTGCCGTTTGGGAATTTGTGTAAAGACGAATTTTAAAAATAAAATACAAAACTCATCTTTCAACTCTCTTTAATTACTTTAATGGTTAGATATCAGAAAAATCGAAGTATTAATATATTTCCAAAGTACCTACTATCTTACATTATATCAATCTTAGGAAATAAAACAGGATTTAGAGATTGCGATTTTCGTAATTGTCCCCTGACCGCAACACCCCCCTACCCCAACAAAAAAAGGAACTAAGAATTAACATCTCTTACAAAGTGGCACATTTAGTAAAAAACAGGCCTTCAAAACAGCACTCAAGACACATCTCTTCAAACTTTACAATGCCGACCGATTCCCACACCCCTCTGACGAATAAATGATGCTGCTGGGTGCCATCTTGGCTTGACATGTAAATAGTTCTGGGGTGGGTGGGATGAATATTTGTATAAAGCTGTTTTTAATTAAATAAAAAAAAATTAATGTCATGTTTGTTTTTGCCAATATTTGTATGTGATTAATGTGAAGCGCGGTGAGCCCAGCTCTAGGCTGGCATACTGCGCTATATAAGACCACTGTAATAATAATAATAAAAACATCCCTGAATAAACTTCTCACCCAGGATGTTGTTGGTATGTCCCACTAGTCTGACACCTATAGACATCTGCTTCTTATATGCCAATGGTAAAAAACTTGTAGAGGGATCAACTATGTTGTTTTTTAACATTAATATTATTAGAATAATACTTCCAGTATTCAAAATACTTTCTAACTTTTTTACAGTTACACTGGTGAATTAGTAAGAGGGCTTTACAGTGGTGAAGGAGAAGCTTGGTTCAAAAATGGAAATTCCTACAAGGTACATGTCATTATCTGGTGTATTTTAACTTCTTCATCTGTATATATTGAGTTATGCACTAAATCATACACAATTAAAAAGGATTATGGTTAAAATGTTTAATAATTAGAATCTAAAATTCTTGGATCAACTTACATAGAATTTAAGCTAACATGCACTGTTGTTTCTAAAAAGATAATGCTGTCGTTATTAAGAGGTTATTTCAAACTATAAAATATTGACAGTGGGCTAATAAGACCACCCCTTGTTGGATTGTTTGTGTGTGATTTGACTGTAACTGGCTGAATTAACATAGTAGGCTAACATTGTTTATTTCAGGGTTTCTTTACTCTGGGACTCATGCATGGCAAAGGGGTTTACATTTGGGCTGATGGTGTTGTATATGAGGTAGGAGACCATACAAACTTTGTTTCATGTTATATTTTTGTTATACTTTTTGTTGAATTATTATTTACATTGTTGCTTAGAATTTTGTATATAAATCTGTAATATCCAATGTGTGTATTGTTAAATAGCCGAGTCTTTGATAAACAATGAGTGCTATATTATGTAGGTAGGTCTTTTATAACCTTTGTGTAAAATATAAGTGTTTTTTTTTTGTATAACCTTTGTGTGTGTGAAATATTAAATTGGTGGGTCTTTTATAAATTCACCTGAAATACATGTTTCATGGCTTAATGAGAGATTAATAAAGACCACTTTTCAGGAAACAATAGTTTGTTATATTTTTAAAATTGACTGAACTAGTTAAAAATAAAAAAGTCGTATTTATCATATTATAAACAATTATATGTCTGAATGATATAAAATATGGGAATTGAAAGGGACTGTATTAATTGTGTATTTGATGTATCTTATTTTGAAGGGAGATTTCTATGAGAATCAGATAACAGGGAGTGGTAGCTACACATGGCCAGATGGAAGGTTTGTACTTTTAAATTTTAGTAAATAAAATACTCTCATCTAGATCTGTTGTATTGCGTCATGACAAACCAGTGCTGAAGATTTGTGTTCAAGATTTTGATAAAAATATGAATATTTTGTGAGGTCACTTATTCTTCAAGCACATTATTTAGGCCGTTTTTAAACATGGTGTCCACGGAGAAAATAAAGTGCAATTAGAAAAAGTTTTTTTGTGTGTTTCATCTACAAAGTAGGATAGGCCTGTAACTGTAACAAACTTCCTGCAGTAGATGAGTCCACTGGTGGGTAGTTTGATAAGCTTCATGTTGTGTAAGGGAACAATTCTATTCTAAAGTATGCGTTATTTTCCAGCCACACCTGGTCCACAATCCAAAGCAACAACAATGGTCAATGAAGATAACTATAACTTACAATTTTTATTCACAGGATCCTATATAGCAACTACCAGCTCACAAAACGTCATCTACAATTTCACAATACACTAAAATTGAGAGGTCTCGTAACACACTAACTGCCTCTGACTAATGAGTACTTGCACTTCAATCATAACTTAACAGAAATTCTCAACAGAAATTAACATACTAAGATGCGCCCCGTGTTCACTCAGCATTTATTCACCCACTTTTTTTTATTGACCTTTCATGGACCAATAATATCTTGCTTATCTCCTCAGCACATATGCTGGAGATGTACTTAACGGCAAACGTCATGGCTTTGGTACATTTACTTGTGCTAATAAAACTGTGGCTTATACCGGAGACTGGGACATGGGGCAGAAGCATGGAAAGGTAGGCTACTCCAGCTGTTCGTTGTTGTGCGTATTCTTAGCTTTTATTAAGGAACTTTACTTTTTTTATAGATAATTGCACCTGACATTTTTCACTTGGCCTGACAATAAAATAATGTTTTGTAATAAATTGTGATAGTTCATCCGTTTCACTCAGCCTGCCAATACAATGTTTTGGAGTAAATTGTGATAGTTTATCAGCTTTCATAAATTTCATTGCTGTTTATGTTTCATGTCATGTTTTGCTTGGTTTGAAACAGTGAAAAGCATATTGTGGCCTATGAGAGGCATGAGGTTCTTTGTCTTTGAAGGAATTAATATACAATGAAATGTAGCTCTTAAAACTTAATCACCATGGCATGCATTTAAAAAAAAAAAATCTAAAATGACATTCTTTTTTTTAAATCCATTATATTAATTTTGCTTTTTTCATGGCTGGCTGGCAAAATCTTTGGTTTGCTAATTGATCCACTTCCCATCAATCTATTGAGCTCAAACTTGGCACATAGGCTCCTTACAGATGAAAACACATCTTTCAAATTTTCAAAATTCTGTTTTCCTGTTTTTTTAAGGGAAAATATGAAGGAAATATGACTTCCAGGAATAAAATTCGTGTTAACTGTGCTAAATGAGATTCTTTTAAAAAAAATATAGCAAGCGCGTTTGATGCATAATATTTTCTTTTGTTTTATTTGAAATGCTTCAATAAATCTGCAGTGTAAATATGGGTCATTAGAATATTAAAATAGTTTAGGAGCATGAAAAAAATGTGTGGTTGTGAGCCTGGAGGGGTGGGGGTGGGGGGAGCTCTAATTGTGATTCTTATAACGTGCATTACTTGTATGCATGTTTTGTCAAATTTTCAGCCCCACGCCCCGTTGCTCGATATCACATTTTATGATATTTTATGATGGATTTATTTGAAAAACTTAGTTTTTAGGGATTGTTTAATGTAAAAATTAATCTGCGATGACGTGCAACTCTTTTTTAACGGGGGGAAAGCAACATTATTTTTGTAACCCAGTCCACAATCTCATTATACTGATGTGCTGTATGTTAATGTTATAAACTCTTGGGAACCATGTCATGTGGGAATAAAACTCAGCCGGAAAAATTATTATTGATTTCATTCCTCCCTTGGTACGAGGACAGTGGGGAATTAACGTTAGAAATATCTTATTTTACTAGGGGAGGATGGACTTTGATGTCGATGGAAACTCTTTCTATGATGGTGACTGGGTCAGTGGAGTTAAACACGGCTGGGGCGTCCGCAGATATCCCTCTGGAAACATGTACTCTGGCATGTGGTTTAACAATGTCAGACATGGAGAGGGCACCATGAAGTGGCTGGACAGAGACCAGATTTACAGCGGTCAGTGGGAAAATGGCATCCAGGTAATTGGTCTGAAATATTTGTCCTCCTTCAAGAGAAACTACCTGAATTCTTGTTGACCGCAGTTTAAAAAAAATTTAAAAATTAATAAATAACTATAAAATGTTCATACTGACAGCCGTGATTCTCATACCCTTGAAAAATAGCTATCTCATTTTGATAACTTTCAAAATTAATTATTGTCAATAAAAATATTAGTGAAGGAGCCAGAATGATCAATACATTGATCGTGGGCCCTCAAAATATAGAAGAAGAAGAATATTCTTTCTAAAATTTTACCTTTTGAAAAAGCACTTACTGATGATATGCTTTTTCAGCCAAGTAAATGAATAGATGACAAGCTATGTGGTGATAAAAATCCTATTTTTAACTTTCAACCTTATGATAGGCAATGCTAATCTGTAGTCTCAGTCAATAACTAGATCTAACTAAGATTTCAGTAGAAGTGTTGCCAACATTTTCATACATCACTTTGTCCATGTTCAGCATGGCTCAGGAAATCACATCTGGCTTCTAAAACGTGTCAATAGATCTCAGTATCCAATGCGTAACATGTACGACGGTGACTTTGTGAATGGGCTACGTCACGGCCACGGTGTGTTCTACTACGCCAATGGGGCCAAGTATGATGGCTGCTGGAGAAATAACTTGAAGCATGGAAAGGTTGGAGATTTAAATCTTTGAACATTTTTGATGTTGTTACTGTGAAACTTTTTTCGTCTTTCCTTGTACTTTCAGCTTTTCAAAAAAACTCTAATTTTAAAAAATGAGTTATTTTTAAATTAATTTTTTTAATTTTTGGAAAGGAAAAGATTAACGTGTAAAAATAATATAGAATGTTATTTACAGGGAAAATTCACATTTAAAAATGGCCGGATCTATGAAGGTCTGTTTGAGAAAGACCACATTGTTGAGTTCCCAGACTTCACAATTGATGGAATGACCTCCCCTGACATGAGTCAAATAAGAACCAGAACTCCTGTGCCAGCTGGTGGGTATTCCTTATTATAGAGTCTAACAGAGTTGTCTTGTTGTACATACATAAGCGGATTTGACCAGTAAATAAGGCTATACTGTTCTTAAATCCCCTTTCATCCCAAATCATCAACAACAATTGACACTCCCATTCAAATGTTGATAGTGCCAAAATGATTTGAGAAATCATTGTTTCAGACAATGTATCGGTGCACTCTAATGAAAGCAGAAACACGACCGGCCCGAGTTTCCAGCTGGACACACCAGCTCTGTTAGAAACATTTCCCTCTGATGACATTGAACCCGAGGTTCAGCAGGTAATTCTTTGATTAACAGAGGTTCCTTATTTGAAGCCCATCATTCTAAGAGTCTTGAAAGTATAGTTATAGATATTAAATTTGCATAGTTGTTAGCTGCAAAAAGTTAGTGCAGTGTGTTTTAATTTGTGATGAGTCATTATAAAAAAAGTTCAAATACTTTTATGGCTTCTGATTATAAATTTCCATACTAGTAAATATACACAATGTCGAGAAGCGATTCTTCTGTATGGCCAAGTCTTTCACTTCATTCCGTTTGGCAGTACATCATACAGCAACAGTCACCAATGCAACAAACATCAACCGGTTTGTTGTAAACAAAAGTTTATTTAACCACAATTCACAAACTAAGGTTGATACTTAATGTTGGAGCAACAATCGAATCCTTTCAGCACAACTCTTAATTTAATTAACCGCAATTCCCAAACTATGGTTGATACTTAATTTCTGAGAAACAATCAAATCTTCTCAGCACAACACTTAGCAGTATTCAATTCACAACAGTCAATGTAGCACATCCGCCATCTGTCTTCTCTAACAACACTAAAACTCACGCGTCACTTCCCATTACACAATTACGTCACAACGCTCTCACACAAACGATACGGCTGCACATAAAATCTCTAACTAACATCTTTTCCCTATCAAACATGACAACAACGCTCTACACATAGCAACAGTGATTCTCATACCCTCGACACACAACATGTTTCTGTGATTTAAAGAAAAAAAATGTATGTATCACTATTATCTTCTTTTATTAAATAGCAAATGGGATTAGTAAGAACAGATTTTTCAAAAGGTTCCATGAAATCCATTTGGAGTATCATTATTGTACCAGCTGTATATCATTCTTATAGGTCCTTTATGCTATCACACGTCATATCTCTGCACTACGTCGAGTGTATGGCTTTTACAGTATGCTGGGCTATGAAGGAAGTCCTGATAACACCTACATCATGAACAAACTACAGTTTTGGCGTTTTCTGAAAGATATATGTCTGCATCATGACAAGTATTCGCTGGCAGACATGGACCGTTTGATTGGAGAGTGTAAGTCATATGTTCCATGAATTTGATTGGCCAGTGTTAGTCACATGTTCCTTGATTTTGATTGGACAGTACAAGTCATATGTTCCTTCAACTATATTTAGTGTTAAAAATTAGATTTGTTAGAAACTAAATGAAAATTTTTACCAAATAAATGGAACAATTGATACTGTATTATTGCACAGGGCAAATAATTGCTGCCGTTAAGAATGATATTCTCATAATGAACTTGATGTAATGAGAGCGCCCAGATAGTTAGAATTTAAAACAAAGCCAAGTTTTCTAAGTGAGTTCTTGACAAGAATATCTTTCCTCAGGTTACAAGAAGTCCAAAGTTGAACTCCACAATCCTTATGAAAAGATTTTACAAAGGCAGTTTGTCAACAGCCTGGTCATCCTGGCCCATTTGATCTACAAGAAAGAGTATAAAAAAAACAAGTAAGATTTTTGGTAGTTCAGTTATAGACTGTCATTGAAATGTTGTATCCACCCAACTGGTAGTTCAGTTATAGACTACTGTCATTGAAATGTTATATCCACCCAACTGGTAGTTCAGTTATAGACTACTGTCATTGAAATGTTGTATCCACCCAACTGGTAGTTCAGTTATAGACTGTCATTGAAATGTTGTATCCACCCAACTGGTAGTTCAGTTATAGACTACTGTCATTGAGATGTTGTATCCATCCCAAAGGCTAATATTTATTAAACAATATGTTGATTTTCACTGGGGGGAGCGATGATAAGATTAATTACTTTTTGACCATTTGTTATGAAAATAAGTGGGTGGGGAGTCGTGGGGGGGGGGAAGAAGAGACTGCAGTCAGGTTGGGTAGAAGAAAATATGTGAAACAAGGTATGGGAAAGGACATAACAAAACCTCAAACATGTTGTCAAGAAAGGGGGGGGGGGGGGGGGGGGGGGGGGAAGAAGAGACTGCAGTCAGGTTGGGTAGAAGAAAATATGTGAAACAAGGTATGGGAAAGGACATAACAAAACCTCAAACATGTTGTCAAGAAGTCTTCTTCATCGAAGACACGATTTGGCATGGACTTTAAAATTGCAGTCTATCCAAACAGAGTTGCAGTCTATCCAAACAGAGTTGCAGTCTATCCAAACAGAGTTGCAGTCAAAATAAATGATTTAAACTCCTTGAAAAAACATGGAGAGTTAAAAAAATCTGATTGACTTCCAGACCCATATATAAAAGTTGACAGAAGCAATAGAAAACCTAAAAATTAATTAGACAGTATTGAATATGTGCTAACAAAACCTGTGTCAAAAGTAGATACATTTTTACAAGCCAATTAAATTATATTTTGAGAGGAACACTAAATTCCATCAATAAAATATTTTCTTTTGCCAGGGAGACTGGTCCAGTTCTAGAGTACTGTTTCTCCCGTTTGATGACTGAAAGAATTCTTAGATTTGCCTGTGTGGTCAAAGGTAGGCTTGTGGTCAAAAGTGGGCTTGTGGTCAAAGGTGGGCTTGTGGTCAAAGGTAGGCTTGTGGTCAAAGGTGGGCTTGTGGTCAAAGGTGGGCTTGTGGTCAAAGGTGGGCTTGTGGTCAAAGGTGGGCTTGTGGTCAAAGGTGGGCTTGTGGTCAAAGGTGGGCTTGTGGTCAAAGGTGGGCTTGTGGTCAAAGGTGGGCTTGTGGTCAAAGGTGGGCTTGTGGTCAAAGGTGGGCTTGTGGTCAAAGGTGGGCTTGTGGTCAAAGGTGGGCTTGTGGTCAAAAGTGGGCTTGAATTTGATGTCTTCCTTTAGAAATATCTTTTCTTAAAAATGAGCATAAATATTACAGTACAAAATATCTGACATGCTTTTTTTGTGTCTATATGAGAATACAGTATTTTCAGCATAGGAAAAAGTTATTTGTGTGTGATGGTAATTGGTGGGTCAAGATGATTGGTGGGTGAAGGTTACTGGTGGGTGAAGGTTACTGGTGCGGATGAAAGTCAATAAAATAAGAAATGAGCATTTTGCTATTATTGTCTGCATTAAACAGTCCCTCTGTATTATCTTAAGAATAAATCGTTATAGAATTCACTTCAAATGTACCTGTCAGGTATAATTAAATGAAGTAAAGTTTGGAGCTTGGTGGGAGGGAGTTTTTCCACCTCTTTTTGTGTCAGTGACTATCATGGCCTTGATGGGGCTGGATGTGTTACACGTTTCACCATGCTTACATGTTTCACCATGCTTACATGTTTCACCATGCTTACATGTTTCACCATGCTTACATGTTTTACCATGCTTACATGTTTCACCATGCTTACATGTTTCACCATGATTACATGTTTCACCATGCTTACATGTTTCACCACGCTTACATGTTTCACCACACTTACACATTCACCATGCTTACATGTTTCACATGCATGCAGGTTTCACCATGCTTACATGTTTCACCATGCTTACATGTTTCACCATGCTTACATGTTTCACCATGCTTACACATTTCACCATGCTTACACGTTTCACCACGCATACATGTTTCACCATGCATACAATTTTCACCATGCTTATATGTGTCACCATGCTTACATGTTTCACCATGCTTACATGTTTCACCATGCTTACATGTTTCACCATGCTTACATGTTTTACCATGCTTACATGTTTTACCATGCTTACATGTCAACAATTGTGTGTTCTACTTCCTGTTTGAACAGGACCACTGTACCATGAGACCAGAAGAGCTGTCAATGCATTGGTGCACATGGACCAAGCTTATGAAATCTACCAAGCAATCTGCACACCAAGAATGGTAAGTCCTTGTACACTCGGAGTGCTAAGTCCTTGTAAACTCAGAGTGCTAAGTCCTTGTACACTCAAAGTGGTAAGTCCTTGTACACACATTCAGGTAAGTCCTTATACACACAGTCTGTTAAGTCCTTATACACACAGTCTGGTAAGTCTTTGTACACTCAGTCTGGTAAGCCCTTGTACACTCAGTCTGGTAAGCCTTTGTATACTCAGTCTGGTAAGTCCTTGTACACTCAAAGTGGTAAGTACTTGTACATTCAGACTGCTAAGTAATTGTACTCTCAAAGTGGTAAGTCCTCTTACATTCAGCCTGGTTAGTCCTTGTACAATCATACTGGTAAGTCCTTGTACACTCAAAGTGGTAAGTCTTGTACACACCGAGTGGTAAGCCCTTGTACGCTCAGTCTGGTCAGTATCTCTTACAGTAACTACAGCTGAAGTCTGATGTGTCCTATTATCTCCGATGTTTTCTATTCTAGACATTAATGCAGTGTTCTCTATTGCAGAAACCACCCAGGGAGCCCGTGTTGAAAATGAGGTCATTCCTGCATTTCATCAAAGTAAGAAATCTTCATTTGAATAAGTCACCACAACTTGTTCAAACAGTCCACTAAACCAATATTGAATCAAATATTTAAAATAGTTTTAGATACTTTTTAGGTTATCTATTTGTATTACACTTTAATTTGTTTCTAAGTGAAGTCAATTTATGAAGACTTTCATTAAGTTTTTATGGAAGTTACATTTCTAAATGAAGAAAAGCCCAGGAAAGCTGCATCACTACAGTGTTGAATTAATGAAAACATCCTGACACAATTTAAAATGTGTTACTTGATGATACACTTGGTGTGTACTGAGTCTTAATTCCTTATCTGGACCACCATTGTCTCATCGACCACCATTGTCTCATTGATCATTTTATTGCCGATGTAAATACAGCCAGTGAATAAAATCTTTCTTGCAGGAGTTAGGTCTTATCAACAATGACCTAACACCAGCTAAAATTGTACAGCTGTTGACCTCTGACAATCCAAATGTTAGTGACGGAGAGGGCTGCTTCAACCTTGAACTTGAGGTGATTATACTGTTAATAATCAACGTGAGATAGCTCAGCGATTAAACAGTTACACAGTTTTTAGCATGCTAAAAAAATTATTTTTAAAAGGCAGTACAACCCTTCCAAAGCCCAGTGGTGTGCAACCTTGCCAAACCTCCCTGACACTCTAGAACACTTTCTGTTTAGTGCTATTTAAAATGGATGTATTTTAGTTTTGGGGATATGTTTCTAGTCAAGGACATAACTTCTCTTCACCAGTGCCATCAGATACGCTCTGTTGAAATGTATTGTGTTAGAATACAAAAAGCTTCCTATATGTATGTGTCCCCTATCAGCTGCCCCCCCCCCCCATATGCACATGTTCCCATCAGCTGCATGCTTCACTTGTTTCTGTTCTTCTCTCATATATCATATTTCTTATAAACATTTGAGGCATTACATTAAACAATGATTTACTGGCCAACTGATTGCTCGGAAAACTCTTTGACAGATGACTTTCTTGGAATACTTCGAGGCCTTGCTTCTCTGTGCTGAGATATTTGTGACGGAGAGTGTTGTTCTAGACCCGACCACTCCACGTCCCAGTTTGAAGTTACTGCAGGAACTCAGCCAGTATTCAGGGGAGATGACAACTTCACATGCTGCCAGTCAGGTATTCCGTGGATATGGCATGGTGTTAGCCAGGTATTGAGTGGCTATGACAGTGTCACATGGTGTCAGACAGTGGATATGACACTACAAAATAATCTTGAGAAAAAATTGACCAAACCCATAACATTTTACCACTCACAAAGCAATTTGGCATGAAAATCTAATGGGCAATCCATTAAAAGTTTAGATGTTAAATCTGGCCACAAATTATTAGACTTATATATTTATTTGAAAATAGGTCAGTATTTTTATTGCTCTTTTTCAGTGCTTTCCAAACTGTGTGTCATGACACAATAGTCACTCGCAGTGTGTAGGTGTGTTGCCCGAAAGTAAACCATATGAACATTCACATATTTATTTTGGACTTAAAAAACCGCTAGTATTGAATTAAGAAAAAAATTATGGACAAACAGGTGTAGTAGTAAATTATATTGAAAGCAGACGTCTTTAATCAAGATCAGTTATGAGGTTATGGGATCAACATTTAGAAGCTGATATAAACATGAACAGAAATTGTCGAGCTGTTGTTGTGTGTTGACAAATTGAGGGAAATTCTGCTGACATATTTTGTCTTAGGAAAGTAGTCCAAGGGATTTTTGTGATTCATTGAAAACAGAATTTGTGGACACAATAATTGTCGTTCCTTGATCTGGCTGACATATTGGAATGTTCAAATAAAACAACCACTAGGAAACAAGATAGTGATTAGGAAATGGAAAGTGACTGAAGAGAATGTGGAAAAGTGTTGTGGCTGAGTGTGAGCTAAATGTGATAATGCTGGTGCTCATTGCTGTAAGAGAAAGTTCAACTGATTGTGAACCATTTGACATTGCTGCAAGAGAAAGTTCATACTTGCTTCTCAATTGCTAAAATCCAAGTCTATGATAGGATGAGGAATCCATTTCTCACAACTGACTGATGAACTTTTCACTTACCAAGGAAGAAGAATATTAAGCTGAACTTACAAATGATTAGAATCTATGCAAATGTGGATTTATTTCTTTGATTTGTTTCAAAATTGCATGACAACAATAAATGAAAGAATTTCATGAGTTTGTTGTCAACATACATTGCAGTATTACACTTTCTATATCTGTGCTGCCTGCCTTGAAATGAGTTCAGCTTTGTTGTCAACATACATTGCAGTATTACACTTTCTATATCTGTGTACAAGTTGTTTAAAGAGATGCCCTTAAATTACTGGTTGTTTAAAGAGATGCCCTTAAAGTACTGGTTGTTTAAAGAGATGCCCTTAAAGTACTGGTTGTTTAAGTGATGCCCCTAAAGTACTGGTTGTTTAAAGAGATGCCCTTTAAGTACAAATTGTTTAAAGAGATGCCCTTAAAGTACTGGTTGTTTAAAGAGATGCCCTTAAAGTACTGGTTGTTTAAAGAGATGCCCTTAAAGTACTGGTTGTTTAAAGAGATGCCCTTAAAGTACTGGTTGTTTAAAGAGATGCCCTTAATGTACTGGTTGTTTAAAGAGATACCCTTAAAGTACTGGTTGTTTAAAGAGATGCCCTTAAAGTACTGGTTGTTTAAAGAGATGCCCTTAAAGTACTGGTTGTTTAAAGAGATGCCCTTATAGCACTGGTTGTTTAAAGCGATGCCCTTATAGTACTGGTTGTTTAAAGAGATGCCCTTATAGCACTGGTTGTGTAAAGAGATGCCCTTAAAGTACTGGTGGTTTAAAGAAATGCCCTTATAGTACTGGTTGTTTAAAGAGATGCCCTTAAAGTACTGGTTGTGTAAAGAGATGCCCTTATAGTACTGGTTGTTTAAAGAGATGCCCTTAAAGTACTGGTTGTTTAAAGAGATGCCCTTATAGTACTGGTTGTGTAAAGAGATGCCCTTATAGTACTGGTTGTTTAAAGAGATGCCCTTATAGTACTGGTTGTTTTTGTGAAATAACACTCCAACTATGTCCTACATTTTATTTGCCAGTCTGCCATGGATGATGAGGAAGAAGCCGCCACTGTTCCAGCCGAGTCCATTTCTCCCATTCCAATAACACCGCTCAGAAATGGGTCATCAGCAGCCAACACTGTGCTCAACATTAAACCAGGAGAGTCTCCTATGAGGGGGTCATTGTCTTTAGTGAGTCACCCAATTCTTTACTAGGGTAACAGTTGATCATAGACCATAACTTACGGACATCCCCATAGGACATCAACATGGGACATCCCCATAGGACATCAACATGGGACATCCCCATAGGACATCAACATGGGACATCCCCATAGGACATCAACATGGGGATATGGGGATATCAACATGGGACGTCATTGCTTCTGTGAATTTTTTTCCCCCCAAAAAAGCTCCACACACATAATATTCCCCACATAAAAATTCCCCACATAAATGACTTTGCACACAAATATTCATCACATTTGTGTGTGTGCTGCAAGCCTATCAGATGTGTAAAACTCAATGAACTAAAAAAATAAATTATATTTTAAAAAAAAGGATAAAATTGTTGAATTTGAACACATTTTTTTTTTGTCTGTTACAGCACACCAGTGAATCAAACGTCACAGTGAATCTCAATCAGAGCAGGCGGGATAGTTTACGTCCTGGTCAGTGCCAATATAGACCATCTAGTAGTTAACTAATTGAGCTTGAATAAATAGTTTTGAAACACCACCTTAAAGCATTTAATTGATGAACTGTTATATTGTCCCCATTGGATCATTTCTAAATGAAACTTTTGGAACAGTTCAAACTTTGAACCCTGCAGTTAACACTAAATCTAACTATTTTCACTGGAAACTTTGAACCTTGTAGTTAACACTAAATCTATGTATGTTCACTAGTTCAAACCATCAATGTTGGTTCGTCTGCAGATACTCAGAAGACATCCAGCGCTATAAAAAGCCATTCTCCGGTTCAGGAAATGAATGAAGACTCGAACGAGTCGGACAGTCGAAGCGGTAGTGCAAGCCAACCAGGACAAGGTGAGTGCAGTAGACAATGAATTGGGAAATACATTTCTAAAAAGAAACTTGCTAAAAGGACATTTCTCTGAACTCAATGACAATCCTTGATAAATGTAACAGGTGAAGAGATCTGACTCAAAATCCTGCAGTGGTTAATGGATTATTGGAATAAGATGTTTCACAAGGGTTATTGGAATAAGATGCTGTACAATGGTTATTGGAATAAGATGTTGTACAATGGTTGTTGGAATAAGATGCTGTACAATGGTTATTGGAATAAGATGTTGTACAATGGTTGTTGGAATAAGATGCTGTACAATGGTTATTGGAATAAGATGCTGTACAATGGTTATTGGAATAAGATGCTGTACAATGGTTATTGGAAAAAGATGCTGTACAATGGTTATTGGAAAAAGATGCTGTACAATGGTTATTGGAATAAGATGCTGTACAATGGTTATTGGAAAAAGATGCTGTACAATGGTTATTGGAAAAAGATGCTGTACAATGGTTATTGGAATAAGATGTACAATGGTTATTGGAATAAGATGCTGTACAATGGTTATTGGAATAAGATGCTGTACAATGGTTATTGGAATAAGATGTACAATGGTTATTGGAATAAGATGCTGTACAATGGTTATTGGAATAAGATGCTGTACAATGGTTATTGGAATAAGATGTTGTACAATGGTTGTTGGAATAAGATGTTTCACAATGGTTATTAGAATAAGATCTTTCACAATGGTCATTATAGTGTTTATTGGAATAAGATTTTGTTCAATTATTCATTGCTGATAAAAATTAATGATGATACTTGTGAGAAAATACTTGCTGCTCCAGACTATAAGTTCCACCAGTGGTTCTATGACTGCACCACAGGAGGACTTATCAGTTTCACTTTTATACTGGTACATTTTCAATAAGCACATACTCTATATATGGCATCCTTCCGTCTTCATGAGACGCTTCAACAAATGGCTCATCATGCCGATCCCAGAATGGCAGTCTCAGCTGAATTTTCCGCAAGAGAACCTTGACTCCTGGTTAGATTAGGCCTTCCACATTGCTGGTTTTGTTAAAGGGCTTCGTTTCGCACTTCTTCTGCCATTTTGACTCCTTCATACACTGCTGTTCCCCAGATGTAACTGCTCAGCAATGAGCTCTCATTCGTTGATTTCTATGTTGGCTTCCCTCATGCTCCTTTTGCAAACGTCCATAAATCCCATCCATGGCCATCCTGTACATCTTGCCCCTTCTGCCAACTTTCCATACAGAAGATTCTTTGGAATACGGCCTTACTCTAAACACATGTTTGAATAGGCTACGAGTTTAGCACTGTGTTATTCATTTATTTTACAAGCATCAAATCTTATGTTTAACAGATGCACTGTGACAGGATTGTTGCTATTTACAGTGTTTTTAATGTTCAATCTCATATGAGTCTTAAGGTGTTGTGTTAAATAGCAACTAAAATAACATGAAGTTTAACTTTCCACCTAGGACTCTTATCCCCATACAAAACTTCTACAAATTTCAATACTGTGAAAAGCCCCAGAAGCCCATATTTCTCACCTTACCCAGGTATAATAAGTTTTGTTTGAGGTTACATGTTTTTTACTGTTTAAACATGAGAAGTTTATCCCTAACTTTGTACTGGCTGGACTGTTCTGTTGAAGTTTATCCCTAACTTTGTACTGGCTGGACTGATCTGTTGAAGTTTATCCCTAACTTTGTACTGGCTGGACTGATCTGTTGCGATTTTATTTAGATCAGCAGGAAATATTTTGTTCACACCTTCAGTTTAATTTTAATCTACCTTAAAATTTAAGTCAGTCTAAAGAAAAAACCAGTTTAGTATATAATAATTAACTTCCTATACTGAACAAATGTGTTTCGCTGTGGGTCTTTTGTTAGGGGCTCATTAGCTGTAAGTATTAGGTTAGAGGCTCATTAGCTGTGAGTCTTTGGTTAGGGGCTCATCGGTCGTATAAAAAAAATAGGTATTATCTTACTTCAGTGAAAGAAAATATTATGAAACTCATGCAAAAACAAATAGTTTCAGCTAAATAGAAGACATTTAAATGAAAGACTAGTTATGCTGGTGTGCCGTAGTTAAGCTGGCTGGTGTGCTGCAGTTATGCTGGTGTGCCTTACATTTATAGTTTTCTAATTCATGATTTTACTCATTTACTCATTGCAATTGTATTTATGTTGGATTGGAAATTTTTTTAACTCATCAATTTTTTCGAATTATTTAAATATTTAAAAAAAAAGAGTTTAAGGAAATGAAGAGGAATGTATTAAATAAATTATGATATTTAAAGGAAAATACTTTTTAACAAAAAATGAAAAACAGAAAACATGCCAATATTAGAAAAGGAATAATTGTCAATTTTTACCCTACTGCAAGAAAAGAAGATCCAGAATAGCAGTGTTGTTATTATGGTACATCTATTGCTGGAGATACAACATTTAAACATACTGTTATTTTATGTAGGAAACAATCATTCATGTAGTTAGGTAGACTTGGTAGTGACTTAAATCTGTGTATTTTATTGTTCAGAGTTCGAGTCTCCCGTGGAAGCAGATGGCGAGGCAGTCATGTTGGACGATAACACCAAAAAATTCAACTTCTGGACCCATCAGATTCACATCTTCTTCTTGAGGAAATTCTTTCCCAGCGCTGAGAGGTACCTGGCGGCCCAGAGGTCAAAGGCCATCATCAGAGTGGAGCACAGGAGGAGGCAGACTATCACAGGACCGACCTGTGAGCTCAGAGAGGAATGACATTCAAATATTGTTATTGTTTTTAAGCAAAGCCTCTAAATTTATTGGAGCACAACTCTAATATTGTTTTTATGTCCCTTTGCATACAATGTTTTCAAATCTCTCCTAATATTACAATATAGTATTGAAGTGAACAGTGTCTGTCACATTCACTGGTCAGGTCAGTTTTGATATCACTACTTGTCAACTGAGTTTTGATATCACTACTCTTAAGGTCCGTTTTGATATCACAACTCTTCAGGTCCGTTTTGATATCACTACTTGTCAACTGAGTTTTGATGTCATCACTTGTCAGGTCGATTTTGATATCACGACTTGTTAACTGAGGTTTGATATCACTACTTGTCAGCTCAGTTTTGACAGCACCATTCTGTAAGACAGTTGTGATATCACTATTGAAAATAAAAAAATTTGCAAATCTTAAAGAACAACCGTCCTTGCTTTTGTCTGAGATAAAATGGTTTATCGCTTGCCACACTATGAAGTTATATCATTCTGTTTTATCAATCATGTTGTCAATAGTAAGCCAAATCTTTATATCAACTGATATCTTCATCTTGGAGTGCAACATTATTGTACACTTGCTCTCCACCATAATCTTTACACAAATAGAAAGGTTGCCCAAATCGGTTTATTTTCTTGTGAATATCCCCTCCCACCCCCCATTTTTTTTCCTTCTTTTATAATCAGAGACCATCTAAAAAAACCTGTCAGAGTTGATTGTCCTACCTATTTTGTGGGGAGAGGACTTCTTACATTGCGGGACTCAATTTTTTCTTCTTGAAACTTGAACTCTTAACAATTAACGTTAAAAAGTTTCAAGTGTAACTCGATCAAAAAAGTCATGGCTATTTACTTGGTTCCATAACATTTATCTTTTGGTCAGAATCCATGGATAGGTTAGGCTGTTGGATCAACTCTCAAAGTGGCGGCCATAAGAGTTCATAATATGTGGATTTTACAGTGGATTTTACAGAGTATTACGCTACATCTTGCTGTTCAGTCTCTTTGTTTCACTTGTATAAGAACAGAGCTGACTCAGTGGTGTTTAGATTTCACCTCTGCCATTTCTTTCAAACCTGGTATTAAAATATTGAAATATTGAACAGAGACTTGGCACATTATTTCACTGTCTGTCTATGAGCTGTGTACGTGACCCACCACTGTATGAGCTGTTTATGGGATTCAAAACTACATATATGAATCACCACTGTATGAGCTGTGTATGTGATTCACCACTGTATGAGCTGTTTATGGGATTCACCACAATATGAGCTGTTTATGTGATTCTCCATTGTATGAGCTTTTATGGGATTCACCACTGTATGAGCTGTTTATGGGATTCACCACAGTATGCGCTGTTTATGTGATTCACCACTGTATGAGCTGTGTATGTGATTCACCATTGTATGAGCTGTTTATGGGATTCACCACAGTATGAGCTGTTTTTGTGATTCACCACTGTATGAGCTGTTTATGGGATTCACCACAATATGAGCTGTTTATGTGATTCACCATTGTATGAGCTTTTATGGGATTCACCACTGTATGAGCTGTTTATGGGATTCACCGCGGTATGCGCTGTTTATGTGATTCACCACTGTATGAGCTGTTTATGTGATTCACCACTGTATGAGCTGTTTATGTGATTCACCACTGTATGAGCTGTTTATGTGATTCATCATTGTATGAGCTGTTTATGTTATTCACCATTGTTTGTATGAGCTGTTTATGTGATTCACCACTGTATGGCCTGTGTATTGGATTGCTTATTTCCCAAGATTTAGTAGGCATACCTGTAACTCCCACATTTTGAGACCCATAACTCCTGCATCTAGAGATACAGAACTCCTGCATCTATTCCATAGATATAGCAATTATGTCACTCTCAATTGTAAAGCGACCTAACTCCTACACTTAGGGCATGCTGGAGATCTTTTTTCAAACCGACGACGTCATGCCCTCGATTGAAATGAAAGAAAAATTAGATTAATTTTAGAATGATTTACTGAACATGAAAGTATGAAATAAATGGGATACAATAAAGAACGTCTGGTTTAGAAGCAAAAAAAAGATTTATTTGAAAACATTTTCACTTTGGAGAAATAATGTTTGATTTTAAAAAAAAATTTGATGCCGGCACAATGTCGATCATGTCTGGTGGAGATTCAGTTTGATTTTTCAGCGATTTTTGTTTTGTTTTTGTTCTGTTTTGTTCATTAATGGTGGAACAATTGTTGTTCCGGTTGCAAAGGGCAGCAACTTTTTTGACTTCCTCAAGCCATGTAATTTTTTTTTTTTAAACTCAGTGCAGCTCTTGATAACATCCAGCATAAGATAAGACAGCAGACAACCAGGCCCAATGCCTCTTGTGACCTCTGGTGACTACAAACATGTTGGCCAGGTTTCTCCATTATTTCTAACCAGATCCGAAGCTGCCCAAAAACAAAAAATTCTGATGTAAGGAGGAATGAACTTTTGATATAGTTTTATTGATGTAAAATTGAATTTGAACCCTGAGTAGGCCTACTGCCCAAGATTGTAATTCCCCCCCCCCCCTCTCTCCCCCCAACTGATTTATCCCAGTTTCCCTTACCCCTCAGGGGCATAACTTCTAGATCTAGCAAGAGGGATCTCCCCCCAACTGATTTATCCCAGTTTCCATTACCCCTCAGGGGCATAACTTCTAGATCTAGCAAGAGGGGCATAATTCATCCTTTTATCTACAAGTAAAGAACTGTGTGTATATATATATATATGCACATAAACTAACAGAGGCGACACCTCCAGTGGCATTACTCTCAAGTTGGTAAAAAAAAAAAAAAAAACTTTGCGAGCAGTCTGGAAAAAATCGACATCCGGGGCCATATTTCCTTTGGTAAGAGCAGTCTATATCTGAACGGGCGTTCACTAGCCGTGCCGCACGTCCCCGCGCAGGGCCACACCGTGGTGCGTCCATCTTTAATTCTAATGATGTTTAAGCTGTGTCTCGTAATAGAAACAGTACGCGTCATCGCATTAAACCTGTTCACATCCCAGACACTTTCCTTGGACCACCCGGATCCAGGCATTTCCCATGGCCTGAAATGCATTCCTGCCACCCTACACAAATCCCAAGATCACACCTTTCAAAATACATTTCACAACATCCTTCATAGTTACCGACATCGCATTACTACAAGGAATATAAATATATATAAAACATATATCAAAATTATTTGTGTACTGGTATGTTGTGTGTATGCAACCATGTCAACAACAAAAAATCTCTATGACCAAGTCAACAACACAACATCTCTATGACCAAATCAACACAACATCTCTATGACCAAGTCAACAACACAACATCTTTATGACTAAGTCAACAGCACAACATCTCTATTACCAAGTCAACAACACAACATCTCTATTATCAAGTCAACAACACAACATCTCTATGACCAAGTCAACAACACAACATCTTTATGACCAAGTCAACAATACAACATCTTTATGACCAAGTCAACAACACAACATCTCTATGACCAAGTCAACAACACAACATGTCTATGACCAAGTCAACAACAGAACCTCTTTATGACCAAGTCAACAAACCAACATCTCTATGACCAAGTCAAAAACACAACATCTTTATGACCAAGTCAACAACAGAAAATCTCTATGACCAAGTCAACAACACAACATCTCTATGACCAAGTCAACAACACAACATCTCTATGACCAAGTCAACAACACAACATCTCTATGACCAAATCAACACAACATCTATATGACCAAGTCAACAAACCCACATCTCTATGACCAAGTCAACACAAAATCTTTATCACCAAGTCAACAACACAACATCTCTATGACCATGTCAACAACAGAACATCTCTATGACCAAGTCAACAACACAACATCTCTATGACCAAGTCAACAACACAACATCTCTATGACTAAGTCAACAACACAACATCTCTATGACCAAGTCAACAATACAACATCTATATGACCTAGTCAAAAACACAACATCTTTATGACCAAGTCAAAAACACAACATCTCTATGACCAAGTCAACACAACATCTTTATGGCCAAGTCAACAACACAACATCTCTATTACCAAGTCAACACAACATCTCTAAGACCAAATCAACACATCTTTATGACCAAGTCAACAACACAAAATCTCTATGACCAAGTCAACAACACAACATCTCCATGACCAACTCAACAACACAACATCTCTATGACCAAGTCAACATCACAACATCTCTATGACCAAGTCAACAACAGAACATCTTTATGACCAAGTCAACAATACAACATCTCTATGACCAACTCAACAACAGAATATCTCTATGACCAAGTCAACAACAGAACATCTCTATGACCAAGTCAACAACACAACTTCTCTATTACCAAGTCAACACATCTCCATGACCAAGTCAACATGAAGCAACAACCCCCCCCCCCCCCCCCCCCCCCTCATACAACTTCCTTTTATACCGCGCCCCTTGTCTCACGTCTGCCTCATTGGTTCCCATCACACCCAGCGCGCGGCACAGGTTGCTGGTGCAGGGGGTCTACAACTGAATTTCGCGCTCACCCTGATCCGAGCCATCCCTGTCCTGCCCTGACGTCACGTGCTGTTTGATCACATTTCGTCATATTCTCTATCTGGTAGCGTAGTGGCGGTAACCAGTGGAATTTCCATATTCTACTATCAAGGTAAGTCTTGCTCTGCCCAGATTGTAGTGTGTTGTGTTGTTACGCTCAAAATTGTTGCTGTAATAGCATCTCTATTATGCGTTGACCAATCGTCGCAATTTTCCTGTCTTGTCGCGTGATAAGGGACTTAGGAGAAATGACGATATTAGCTTGGATAGAGAGTGGTGATAGCGAAGAGATGATGGTCTTAAAAATGGTAATAGGGGCTTGAGAGAGAATGGTGATAGGGGCTTGATAGAGAATGGGATAACGGCTTGAGAGAGAGCGGTGATAGGGGCTGAAGAGACAATGGTGATAGGGCTTGAGGCCTACTTGTGATAGTTGCTTGAGAGAACATGTGATTTGCTTGATAGAGAATTGTGACAGGGACTTGAGAATTGTGATAGGGTCTTTATAATTGTGACAGGGACTTGAGAACTGCGATTGTGGCTTAAGAATTGTGATATGTTCTTTAGAGAGAATGATGATGGGGCTGGAGAACTGGGATAGAGACTTGAGAGAGAATGGTGATAAGGGCTTGAGAGAGAATGTGATAGGGGCTTGAGAGAGAATTTCGGAGCACCACACTTGAAAACCTTAAGATTTGCTGTCGTTTTGTCTGGCAGGGCACGCCCCTCACACATATCCGAGTGTGTGGCATCGTCCTGTCACAACTACAACACCGCCTATGGGCTACACTTCATACAGTTTGCACTTTAAACTGAGGCCAACAATTTTTCACATAGATCATTGTTCATGTATCAATATTCTCCCACCCCAATCTCCACCCATACCGTTCCCTCCCACCCCAGACCTTTCCCTCCCACCCCAGATCATTCCACCCAAGACCATTCCCAACCACCCCAGACTATTCCATCCAAGACCATTCCCACCCACCCCACACATTCCATCAAAGGCCATTCCCACCCACCCCAGACAATTCCCACCCACCCCAGATCATTCCGTCCTAGACCATTCCCTCTCACCCCAGACCATTCCCTCTCACCCCAGACCATTGTCTCTCACCCCAGACCATTCCCTCTCACCCCAGACCATTCCCACCCACCCGTCCTTCATTCACCAGTAGGTTTAAATTCCGGCTATCATGACAGCTCCAGTATCTCAAGAGTAGGGGGGAGTAATGCGATTGTGATGTCAGACTATAATACAGAGTTCTCAGACTTGGCGAACGTCTTCAGCTACCTGAGGATGCCACTTTTGTTACAAGTGGCAGGCAAAGGTGCTCAAAACACGCGCTATATTTAGAAGGTTCAAGTACTTAGATGCCTTTATGTATATCTTTATGAAGGTCTATTTGTACAGGATAATTGACACTATCTTTGAAAACCGAGGCCAAAATTTACAGCCGAATTTTAATGTTGTAGACGCTGTTTTAGATATCCAGGATGGACG